GCGGTTCTGCCACAACGATCGGCCTGGGGGCTGTAGTAGTCATGACTCGTGGTTGATGCCTGCTGTAGACGAACTTCATCTCCAGCAACGACAATAGGGCCGCACGGTGCACGGAGAGTAGGGGTGGGGTGGGGGAAATGGTAAATAACGGACATATGGAGAAGATTAGAGGAACATTATGGGTCTGATTGGTTGCTTACATATGCAGCATAACTTAAGCCAACGTAAACATATGCATGGTCTTGGTATTTGGTTGTTCTATACATGCAAGCCATATTTGATAAAATTGTGTTTGGTTGTTCAAATTTTGTTGCATGTAGTCACCTTCATGTTGTTGAGGTCTAATATTTCTAGTAGAGGTATGAGAGATGCTTTAGTTTTGTGTGCGCATGGATTTGTGCAAACATGCATTATCTAAGGGGGTGTTTGGTTTCAGAGACTAAAGTTTAGTCCTTGTCACATCGGACGTTCAGATGCTAATTATAAGGACTAAACATGAGTTAATTATAAAACTAATTACACAGACGAAGACTAATTTACAAGATGAATCTATTAAGTCTAACTAATTTATCATTAGCACATATATTACTGTAGCATCACATTATCAAATCATTAACTAATTAGGCTTAATAGATTCATCTCGTAAATTAGTCTTAATCTGTACAGTTAGTTTTGTAATTAGTCTATATAATACTCCAAATTAGTGTCAAACATCCAATGTGACAGGGACTAAAATTTAGTCCGTAAAACCAAACACCCTCTAATACAACTAAATCAGGTGTACTAGCTAATGCAGCACTGACTCTGCTTTGAACATTGGAGAAGCCTACGGAGAAGCTATGCTACAGGCAACTAAACACGAGCAAACTGCACTGCAAGTCTAAATATAGGCTAATACATGCAACCGAATCAAATCTGATTCTACTCCAACCATTATTCCAACAATATGAATTTAATGGTTTACCCTTAGCTAAATAATAAAAAAATATAAATTTCGTAATAATGGCTTCATATTTTTTTCTGCACCAACCAATTTAGTACCTATATTCAGTACTAAGGCTGGACGAAAAACTCGAAGCTCGTTAGCTCGCTCAGCTCGTGACCGGCTCGGCTCGACTCGGAATTTTAGCTCGTTAGCTATAATGAGCCAACTCAAGTTAGCTCACAAGACGCTCATGAGCCAAACGAGCTACACTTCTAGCGAAAAAAGCAGAAGAACTTATATTAATTTTTTATTACTTCATGTCTTGCACTTTACAATTAGTTGATAACTGATCTAGACCCTACAAACCTGGGATTATTATGACTTTATCATTTTGTTTTTAATGAATATATCTATATCTATACCTAGTAATAAAGAGGCAAAATTTCTGACACATGTCAATTTTCGTCCAACCTAATCTATAGATAACTAATCCTACACGCTTTGGTAGAGAAAAAGCTCAGGTACAACACATATACAAACAAAGGCGCCGTTCGCTGGTCTGATTTTTTTAGACCAACCGGTTGCTTCTCTCATAAATCACTGTGCATCTTCCAGCCGCTACAGTATTTCTCTAACACAACCGGCCAGTTTTAGCCAAGTTTCAGACCAGCGAACGGGGTCAAAGTAATAAAGCAAACAGAACCGCGAGTCCTTGTCTACCACCTGTTAGTTTTTTAATCCAACACCTTCCCATCTTTTCTTTCGTTTTTCTCTTTTTCTATAAAAATAGAGATCTTGCAAAATTAGCCAAAAATCATAGAAAAATCAGAAAAATGCAAAACTAGTTTTGTTAGATTCATAAAAATGTGATCTATCCATAGATATCATGAATATTTTTAGGTTGTGCTTTATCTATAGGTGTGTTAAATCATCCTTGCATATGTTGCATGCATATATGTTCGATGATGACCGAAAACGTGCCGGAGGTGGCCGAGGAGTAGAAGGAGGTCCTCGTCGTCGGTGTTCCTGAAGCCTTCATTAACTTTCCACTATTCGGTTCTTGCCTAAGGCAAGCCCCGATGCACTAACTTGTATATATGGTATGAACCATGGATGTATGGTGATATACTATAGTATATTATTATACTTGTATATATGTTAGCACATTAAATTTTTTTCGATTTAAGGCCGCTGGATGTATTACTTTTGTATTATACTATTCTCAAGTTTTAGATAAATATAAATATTATATTTTGTGTATTTTTTTATACATTACTCATGAGCTTAACGAGCCAAGCCGAGCTAGCTCGTTATCTTAACGAGCCAGAACGAGCGCTGAGCTCGGCTTGTTATCCGCCCTATTCGGTACCTTTCTTGCACCTCTAGTTTTCTAGCCACTAAATTTCTCCTTACCAACGGCTGCCCATAATAAATTTTCTCTTAAAATAAGTATTTAGTAAAATTTCCTCTCAATTCTCGTATTTATGTTTATCTTCTGCGCGCTTGTTATCCACCCGGACACTTCCTCACTCGCAGGCAGAAAGCTGGTTACTGGTTAGTAGGTCGCAGGGTGGGCTCCTGCCTCCTGCAGCCAGCCCTTTGCTTGGTCAAGGCAGGCTCAGGCCATAGGACGTGGGGTAGCCAGGGAATGGAAGCCGGAAGGTGTAGAATGGAGAACATGCCGAAAGCTATAGCTACGAAGAACTAATGACGCTGGCTAGTCGACACTGACAGAGAAATTCTTGCACTTGTGTTCAAAAAAATGTGCATCATGTTGTGAGAACAAGCAGACGCGGATCTGCCGTTCCAGTCTTCTCGGCCTGCAATCTGATCGATAACCACAAGTTGGTAAATCAAGTTAGGCATGCATTTTTCCACAACCATGTCATCATCAGTTAGGTACGATACGAGAGTAATAAGTTTCGCTGAGACTCCCTTCCTTGTTCCATCATTTACAACTTACAAAGAGAACTCTGACCTTGGCACTTGACGGATTCGCCGAGCTCACATCTAGTCAGAGAGCTTGAAAGAAAGTTCGATGTAAAGAAAGAGAGTACTCGTGAAGAAATAGAGGAGGGTTATGGCTCCTGTCATGGAGGTCAAAAGCAGCCACCTGAATTCAACCAAGGACAACGACACGCTGAACCCCAATACCCCGTGCGTGTGTGAGAGAGAGACCATATCCGTTCCGTCTCTGAATTCTCACGGCGGAGAAAATGAGCAGAAACTTATATACGGAGTATGTATATATATCTGCGAAATATGGCGCTCGTCGATCTCATGCATCGCATGGTCCAAGTAGGGATCGGGAGCAACGAACTACCTGCTTTTCCATGCTTTGAACCGCTGGAACGAGCCCCCGGCTGGCTGTGGTCGTTGATTAAAGAAGAGGTAAAGCGTCGTTGTCGATCTGGCGGCAGCAGCAGTGGAACGACGACGCTACTACGCTAGCACGGGAAAGCCGGCAAGGGAAGAAGACCTTTAAATAAGATTGTCACATCAATTTTTGGATGTTTGCAGACAGAAAGCATTAAATGTAGGTAAAAAATAACTAATTACACAGTTTAGTTGGAAATCACGAGGAATCGACGTCTCCTCGAAAATTTGATACGCGGCGAGAGGTCGAATTCTCCTCGAATTTGCAGCTAGCAGCCGCTAGGCTCCCCGACGCGACGACTGTGCGTGTACTGGGCCTCGTCTTCTGCTGCTGGGTTAAACAACTCCTAGATTGATAGATTAGTTTGTCCTCAAGGTAGTAGGGCTGGTTTAGTCCGGTCTAGCTACGTGACCTATCTTTTGTTCCCTTCCACATCAAGCCTAACCAGGATATTTTTATCCTTGGTTGATGTTGGCCGGTGTCCGTGCATGTGGAATGAAATGCGACAGACGGAATTGTAGAATTTTTATATATACATTTTTTATAGGTATACACAGGCATACTACAGCCATCCAAAATCGTTGATCTAGCGTGCTGTGAATTTGTTTGTTGCCCTATTCTCGTCCCGTACACAAAACTAGCATTGACATCGGAGGACGACGTTCTATGCTCGCTCCTTTTTACAGTCACAAGCAGGCCTTTTACTTTATCCCCTAAAGTTTAGTTTCTGTCCCATGAGATGTTTGACACATGTATGAAGTATTAAATGTAGACTAAAAAATAATTAATTGTACAGATAACGACTAATTTACGAGACAAATTTTTTAAGCCTAATTAGTCCATGACTTGATAATGTGGTATTACAGTAAAGTTACAGCAAGCATGCGTTATTAACGGGTTAATTAGGCTTAATAAATTCGTCTCGCAGAGTACTCGGGACTTATATAATTTATTTTATTATTACTATTCGAACCGACTTTAGCAGTTAGCCCTTGTTTAGTTGGGTGAATTTAGATTTTTTTTTTCGTTCGTTTTATATTTAATGTGTTCAAACATGATAATTAGGCCAAAACGTTCGCCTCGCAATTTCCCACCAAATTCATATTTACGCCCACGAGGTACATGCAAACATTCGATGTGATGGCCATCAGTAGTATTTTTTAGAATTTTAGGTCCAACTAAACAAGGGCTTAGATTTAAAGGACCCCTGACAGACGGGGACTTTGAACTCCCTCCACTCACGTCAGCCTCGAGTAAACCACCACACTGGACTGGACACACCGATTCTGCAGTTCAGATTTCAGAGTCGCCCAGGTCTGCAACGGCGAGGCCGCGAGGGGACGGGAGAAAAGTCGCAGGAGGGAAAAGCAGCAGCGCAGGCGCAAAAAGCAAATCAAAGCCACCACCACACCACCGGGCACACCGGCAGCAGCCGAGACCGAGAGCCGAGGCCGCGCCGCGGAAGCAGGGGAGAGGAAAAAGGAAAGCCAAATCAATCCACCCCGCACGCCGCCGCCGCTCGCAGTCGCAGTCGCCGTCGCCGTCCCCGTCCCAAACCCTACCCACCCGCCCCCTCTTCCCGCGCGCATGGGCCCCGCCTAGCCAGCGCCGCGACGAGCGCGCCTGCCCCCGCCGCTCCGGCGCCGGTAGCAGCAGCAACTGCGGCAGCTGTGTGCCGCGCGCGCGTCTTCGCCGGGGATGGCGCGGCTCGGGCGAGCGGGCTGCCGCCCGGTCGAGGTCCAGGTGAGCCCCCCCGCCCCCCCTGATCTGAGTGCCCTAGTCTCCTTGCTTCATGCCAGGTTCGTGCGATGGACCCGCTCGAGTAGTCTGGGGCCGTGCCACGATTGCGCTTCTCGATTCGAGGTTTTAGTTTTACCGGCGCGGGAATGACACGACTTCACGGCGGGGTTTGTGCTATGGGAGGGCGCGCTGGGTGTCTAACAATAGCTGCCATCGAATTTGTTCCAGGATCTTACTGTAGGTACCATCGGGAGCTCGTTACCTACATTTGGGCGCACAGTGGGAAGCTCGCCTGTAAATTCGAGTTTATTTGGGTAGTGGGAGTGGCGGATTCGGGCCTAGATTCAGGACTTATTAAAATAGTTTACAAGTAGGTCTGCCAGGCGCCAGCTGCCATGGATAATTGGTAGAGATTGAGCGACTTGTGCATAACAGTAAGGATGTAATGGACACTGGAGCAGATATTAGGCAGTTTCATATTCATAATCTTTGTGGCCCCCTTGTTTGTGGAAAAAAAGTAATCTTTGTTGTCGGACTCTGATGCTTATATTTTATTTGAATACACTGTTTAATTGGACTCATTCTAAAACTGATGAGTGCGAGAGTGGACAAATCTGAGTGAGGTGAAATAATCCCTTGGATAATGAATCATAAAATGGCATAGCTGTCCTGTTTAAATTAATAATGCCAAACCTTGACAAAGAAGATCTAATTTTCTGAACATGTATCATAAAATGATTTAAATGATTGAGAAGATCAAATACTAATCTGTCAGTTAATAATGTTTGGCACAAGGGAGTGGAAGTATTTTGTAATTTAGATGGAACACAAGTGTATATTTAATTGTTTATGTGCATATGGACATTTCTGTCTCTACCTACAATGGCATCATTTAAGGGCATATGTAAAGGGAAGATATGACCTTTTTTCGTACCACCTTAGAAGGACAACATAATATTTGTATGTTGTTTTTAGGGAGCCAATGAGCCATGGGCCTCCAGTATCTGTTGTCTGTGCTTTATACCCATTCCACACTATGTATGTATTCGCTTAAAAAATATTCTGACTGGATGGTGTACAACTTTTTTTTTCAGGAATTCCTGAAGACACATTGAGAAATTTTATGTTCAATGTCTTGGCTGCTGTATTTATCCTGGAATTTCTCAGTGGGATCAATTTGATTGTTCAAACATCAGCTCTAGAAATAGTCGCCCCTGCCATGCCTCCATTCCAAGGTTGGAGACCATTTCATTATTTGGCATCCCAAGCTGAAGTCCTTGTAAGTGTTTCTGCACAACCAGCGGATGGCCACCAAAGACAAAAGAAGCTATATTCATCAGCAGTTGCCATGTCATCTGCACATCCTCCTATTTCAGCGCATAGCTATAGTTCCATGCCTGGTGCTTTAGATCTGGCCATTTATTCCTCAGATCTATCACATACTCCAGTGCAGCATACCAGACGCTTAGCAACAGCTGCTCCTGCTCACGTAGATGCTGACCCTCCGGATGCAGCTTCAAATTCTAGCGCAGCTCCTTCTGGATTAGTGCAGCCTCCAGTATCTCCTCACAATGGTAAGTCTATTTGCCAGAGCCTTGAAATATTTTAATCGTAAATGAGCTCTCACTCAGCTTAAAATTACATAATCCTGTTGAGGGGTTGGTCATTTGTCTATTCTAGAAGAGCATCATTTGTACATTTCGTTCTGATCTGTTTGTTCCATTTTTTTATGCGACGGATATCATTTACTCCAATAGTATCTTTTCTATGTTGTAGATATGATGTTAACCATATTGTGATTTATGTTTGTTTGCTAGGTTGTTGTGCACCGAACATGGTACAAAAACGAGGGACCCGGGACTGCCATTGTGTTTATCCAGTGAGAATTGAGCTCTTCCTTCGTAATGTTTCCTTGACTTCAAACTGGAGCAACGAATTTCTTCAAGAACTAGCTTCTCAGCTCAACCTGCGTGTTAATCAATTTGAGATTGTAAATTTTTATGTTGTTGGAGCTTCTGGGCTAAATATCACAATGGATATAGCTCCCTATACTGGAATTAGCTTTGCTGCTGATCAAGTCAAGGCAATGAATTATTCACTTACTCTGCATACAGTTCGGATTGATCCTGTGTTGGTCGGGGACTATAATCTTCTTAATTTAACTTGGTTCAGGCCATTGGCTCCAGCCCCAGGTAATAGCTTTCGATCTTGTACTTGTTCTGTTTGTCACAATGAGGGTAGTTTTGTTACTATCCAGGAAGAGAAAAGCCCCTATGTTTTTGTTCTTATTGTGAGGTGTATATGTAGTGTGGCCCACAACCATATTATGGAAATTTGGACCTTTCAATTTTCATATATCAAATTGGTTCAAAAGTCCAAAAAAGAAAGGAAGAGACACCATTTGGTATTAGCCATCAATCCACCATGGGCGTGATTGGTTCACTTCTCTGGAGAGCCTGAGTCGCATCCACTAGCCAGGCTAGATTGGGACAGGTCAAGTGCATTCCGGTGCTTGTTGTTTGGTTCACTGCATGTATGTGACTAGGCTGGGTAGGGCGTTTGTTTGGTTAGCTGGAGTAGAAGCAAACCATGACCCAAACACACATGTGCATGCATGCTGCTGTCTTGTGCCAGCCAGGCTGCGCAGGAACGGACCTCAGCTGCGTGCCTCGGGAGCCAGGCTCCGAGCATCCTTTTGCGCACACGCAACCAAGCTGAGCTCGAGTTCCAGGAAACCAAACACCCTGTATGCGTGCGAGGGCATGCAAGGCTGGCGGCATCTGGGATACCAAACACGCCACATACTGATCCCTTGTCCTACCAAACCCTTTCATATGAAGAGTTAAAAATGGTAATTAAGGCAGAACAGTATGGAACAATGATATTCATTATTCTCTTCTTTCTTTCTAAAATTATATTTTCTACTTCTGTTCTTAGTTTGCCTTTTTCCTGCTTGTAACTACATATTACCCCCTTCCACATGTAAGTTGCATCTTAATAATTTAGCGAATTTGCTTCGATATATTTCTTAATCCGTGCTCGTCCGAGGGAGTTTGCTTTACCCAACTCCCCTTTTTGATAAAAAGGCAAAAACCTCTTCATAAGTTTCGAATGAATAATGAAGAGTGCCCTGCCCCTCTTTTTTTCCCTAAATCTTGGATTTGGAAGTTGGTAAAGACCCACCCCTTGTTAAAGTCAGAATGAGTCCCGAGTTGTAGAGTATTCATGACCCTGGTGTACGTTGTAGGGAAAGTTTTTCTTTTGTTTCCCCATCAAAAAGTTTAGAGGCATGCATGTTCAATTTAAATTTTATCACAGTATGTTAGCTTTCTTCGATGAACATTGGATGTGCTGCCTTGATGTTATGATACAAAGTTGAAGCTCGAAGACATGATGGATTGATGATTCTTGCATATTATAAAAAGCGTGAGGGTCAAAGTTAGGAATGCCAGTCTCTGGCATCAATTTCTTAGAACTACAACTGCTTGCACCACCACTCACAGGCCCACAAAATTTTATATGGACCCACATGTCAGCCATCAGCCCATCAGTGTTATGGGTGGGCCTGGTGACATGTGGACTTTGTGTGGCTGACGTGTGGGTCCATGCAAATTGTTGCAGGTTTGTGGAACTAATACTTTTACACTTGTGAAATTGATATCAGAAGCTGTAGTTCCTTGGTAGTTAGATGCAGGTGGCCGTAGTTTTGTGAAGCCATCTCATATATAAATATATATAAATATAAGTCGCCTTTCTTTTTATGTGTCATGTTATCTTGTTTTTTTTTTAAATGTCACTGTTCTTAATATTGCTATCTGTATCATTGGCAGCTCCAGCATTCACAATAGCACCTAGGGCCTCTCCATCTACAGTATCCAACTTACCAAGACCGAGTGAGGGTCCCAGCAACAATGGACATCCAAGCCTGATTACTGTGATTATCATATGCGTTGGTTCTCTAATTGGAGTCTTGCTGATTGTTTTAATAATATGCTTCTGCACAATTAGGAAAGGGAAAAAGAGAGTGCCTCATGTTGAAACCCGTATGTGTCCTACTATCTGCTATATATGTGCTATTTTCTTGGAACAATACACACTTGTTGTGTTCATTATGTGATGGTGATTGGATGATGCCATTTTTAAAGAAAAAACATGTTAAATGCAACATTTGCAAAATGTTTGACAAGTCCTTACAAGATAAATAACTATTGTAAAGTATGTAACTCCTATTGTCATTAAAGCACATATAACTGTCCAAACTCCAAACCATATAACATCAGGTAAACTGTGATTATACTTTGCACTAAGGCATTCATGGGTTTTTGTAATGTGTGCTATACTTTCGCCATGTTTAGTTCCAAATTTTTTTCCCAAAAAATACTACAGGATCCATCACATCGAATCTTGCGATACGTGCATGGAGCATTAAATGTAGACGGAAAAAAAACTAATTGCACAGTTTTGTTGGAAATTGCGAGACGAACGTTTTGAGCTTAATTAGTCCATGATCGAACACTAATTGCTAAATAAAAACAAAAGTGCTACAGTAGCCCAAATTCCAAACTTCCCTCAACTAAACACGCGCTTTATTGATGTGATCCAGTAAATTAAAGAATTTGCACTAAGCATTCATATGACTGTCATGATAAGAGAAGTGCATCTTGAATACACTTTACAACCTTTTGAAATATAATAATGCATTTCTGACTGTAGTCCTTCAAAGATTAAAAGCAATGTCATGAGCATTTTCTGATAGTGGGCTATTCAAGATCCCAGCCTCTTCACCCTAGCACTGACATTAGTGGAGATGGATGTATCCAAGTTTATAGTCAACCTGAAACAAAAACCAGTTGTTTAGCTTCTTTCCTGGTATTTTTTTTAAACACTTTTATAACATGTTTAACCTCATAATTCTTTATACAGCCAAGCAAAGGACGCCAGACGCAGTTTCTGCAGTGGAGTCCCTTCCTCGCCCCACCAGCACAAGGTTCCTTTCGTATGAAGAACTGAAAGTGGCAACAAATAACTTTGAGCCTTCAAGTGTGCTTGGTGAAGGTGGTTTTGGTCGTGTCTTCAAGGGGGTACTGAGTGATGGCACTGCTGTCGCTATAAAGAAGCTTACTTGTGGAGGGCACCAAGGAGATAAGGAGTTTTTAGTTGAAGTGGAAATGCTGAGCAGGTTGCACCACCGGAATCTTGTGAAACTGTTTGGTTACTATAGCAGCCGTGAGTCATCACAGAACCTTCTTTGTTATGAGCTTGTTCCCAATGGAAGCCTAGAGGCTTGGCTTCATGGTATGATCTATCGCATATTATTCTCTTCCCAAATCCTCTCTGCACAGGCCCCATTTTAGTTGCACCTGAACCTATTATTTCTGTTTGTTTTGCACCATGTAACTTAACAGACATAAGAAACATAATTCTGACCATGTACTGCATTTTCTCAGGTGAACTAGGTGCTAGCTGCCCCTTGGACTGGGACACCAGGATGAGGATAGCACTTGATGCTGCCAGGGGATTAGCATACCTCCATGAGGATTCACAGCCTTGCGTAATCCACAGGGATTTCAAAGCATCCAATATATTGCTTGAGAATGATTTCCATGCTAAAGTGTCCGATTTTGGTTTGGCAAAACAGGCGCCGGAAGGTCGGACGAATTATCTTTCTACTCGTGTTATGGGAACTTTTGGGTAATCTAAATGTCTTTTACCTTTAGCCATGGCCAGCTATTTCTTCTCTGAATTTACCTTAATACTTCTGGCCTGTTTGCAGGTATGTTGCACCAGAGTATGCTATGACGGGACACTTGCTTGTAAAAAGTGATGTATATAGCTATGGAGTTGTTCTACTTGAACTACTAACTGGGAGGAGGCCTGTGGATATGTCACAGCCCTCTGGGCAGGAAAACCTAGTGACATGGGTAATACTTCTTTCTTTTATATACTATCTTCAGTTCTTGTGTGATTTTACAGCTGAATTAGAATATTTTTAACGTGATGACTATCAGACAGTCAGCGGATTGTGTGTGCATAGGTTGTTTTTATGTATATGTGTAGGCAGCTGACAACTGTAATTTAAATCTCAAATTACTTGTCACTGCATGGTGCGTAAAGAGGTGATGTCACGCTGAAGACATTCTTTCACTCGGTTGACTGCAGGCACGGCCAATTCTCCGAGATCAGGATAGATTAGAAGAACTAGCTGACCCCAGGCTTGGCGGCCAGTACCCGAAAGATGATTTTGTGCGGGTGTGCACAATCGCAGCAGCCTGTGTTTCACCAGAGGCAAACCAAAGACCAACAATGGGTGAGGTGGTGCAGTCACTCAAGATGGTGCAACGTTCTGTGGAGTTCCAGGAATCTATGCCAACACCGCCTGCTCGCCCCAACATCCGGCAATCCTCGACGACCTATGAATCTGATGGTACCTCATCCATGTTCTCTTCGGGCCCCTTCTCAGGCCTCAGCCCCTTTGAGACCGAAACCATTCCAAGAACTGCAGTTTTCTCAGAAGATCTCCATGAAGGTCGATGACTGATGGGGGTGGTTGCCTTTGCCGAGCTGTTTCTCTAGAGCCTGTAGCCATGTAGTCATGCATTCAAAGGCTGGTGGTGCAATTGGCCTGGCCAGCCATTGGGAAGAAAGAGGCACCTGTAAATTCCATTTTTTCTGCACCGTCTCAAAAAACTACTAGATTGTTACAACCCTCAATGACGTTCTCTGGCTTTGTATGGAAGAAATGATTTTGTTCGAAGTTGCTGCTGTCCTCAGTGCAGCCAAACGCGCGCTGTGTGGGTGGAGCCCCATGCAGCCAAACGCGCGCTGTGTGGGTGGACATGTTTGTAGGCTTTCTCAGTTGCATTGCATGCCCGTACTGCCTTGGTTCCCGGAGTACGATCTGAGGCCTGCCGTACACGCGTGTTTCAATCCCGTTCTCCCGCGGTCAAACACCCTCACTCTCGCCTCCCAGACCCTTCCTCTCTCTTCCCCTTTCACCTATCGCTATGTCCTAGTCGTCACCCATGCATCTTCAATTCCGTCTCCATTGGCCGCCGGACTGCCTAGCTCCCTCCCAATCTCTCGGCGCATGGCTGGCAGAGCTCGGCGCCCATTGCTGGTGCTGCTACTCGTCGCCGGCGTTGCTGCCACCGCAGAGTCCAAGGTGTACGCTCCGGCGGATAGGGTGTTGCTCAACTGTGGGTCGACGACGGACGGCCTGGACGCGGACGGCCGGAAGTGGGTGGCTGACACGAACGACAACACGTGGCTGACCGACTCCGGCAAGTCGTCCCTGTTGATGGCGGCCGACAAGGTGGACAATGGGCTGCCGTCCACCATCCCCTACGTGACGGCGCGGGTGTTCACCATGGAGGCCGTGTACAACTTCTCCGTGAACCCGCGGGACCGGCACTGGGTGCGCCTCCACTTCTACCCGTCCTCCTACAACGGGATCGCCGCCGCCGGCTTCCACTTCTCCGTGTCCACGTCCACCGGCATCACGCTGCTCCGCAACTTCAGCGTCTACACCTACACAAAGGCGCTGAGCCAGGCGTACATCATCCGGGAGTTCTCCCTCCCGCCTACGCCCGCGGGGTTCCTTACCTCACCTTCACGCCGACGCCGATGGGCAACGAGACCTACGCCTTCGTCAACGGCATCGAGGTGGTCTCCATGCCCGACATCTTCGTCGACCCGGCGATCATGGTCGGCTTCGCGGACCAGACCGTGGACATCGCCAGCTCCACGCTCCAGACCATGTACCGGTTCAACGTCGGCGGCTCGTACATCCCGCCCTCCAACGACTCCGGCCTGACCCGGCACTGGTACGACGACACGCCATACGTGTACGGCGCCACGTCGGGTGTCACCTACAGGGCCGGCCCGCATTTCCAGATCAAGTACCCCAGCGAGATCGCCGAGTACGCCGCGCCGCCGGAGGTGTACCTGGGCACCCGCTCCATGGGCTCCGACCCGCGCCTGAACCAGAACTACAACCTCACCTGGACCATGCCGGTGGACGCCAACTTCACCTACGTCGCGCGCCTCCACTTCTGCGAGCTGCTGCTCAGCCGGGCCAACCAGCGGGCGTTCGACATCTATGTCAACAACAAGACGGCGCAGTCCGACGCCGACGTGATCGGGATGACGTCGGAGAAGGGCGTGCCCATGTACAAGGACTACGCGGTGTACGTGTCCGAAGAGCCTGATGGCCAGGCCATGTGGGTGGCGCTGCACCCGTCCGTGGCGCTCCGGCCGCAGTTCTACGACGCCATCCTCAACGGCCTCGAGATCTTCAAGCTCAACGACACCGCCGGCAACCTCGCCGCGCCAGACCCCGAGCCGTCCAGGTTGCTCGCCAAGGCGGAGCTGGGCGCTGGAGAGCACGAGGTGCCCAAGTCTAAGCCGCATCCCCACATGGCGAAGGTGATGGGCGGCACGGCAGGCGGCGCGGCCGCGCTCGGGATCGTCGCTGCGATCTGCGTCGTGTGGTACCATGAAAAGAAGAAGAGGGACGCAGCCAGCGCCGGCGGGTCGCACACCTCCGGGTGGCTGCCGCTGTACCACTCCCACACCAGCAACAAGTCGTCGGGCCACCTCCCGGCAAACCTTGCGGGCATGTGCCGGCACTTCTCGTTCGCTGACATCAAGGTGGCCACCAAGAACTTCAGCGAGTCGCTGGTGATCGGCGTGGGCGGGTTCGGCAAAGTGTACCGGGGCGTCGTGGATGGCGACACCAAGGTGGCCATAAAGCGTTCCAACCCGTCGTCGGAGCAGGGCGTGCACGAGTTCCAGACGGAGGTGGAGATGCTGTCCAAGCTGCGGCACCGGCACCTCGTCTCCCTCATCGGCTTCTGCGAGGATGCCGGCGAGATGATCCTCGTGTATGACTACATGGAGCACGGCACGCTGCGGGAGCACCTCTACATGGGCGGCAAGCCGCCGCTGTCGTGGCGGCACCGCCTCGACATCTGCATCGGCGCCGCGCGGGGCTTGCACTACCTCCACACGGGCGCCAAGTACACCATCATCCACCGCGACGTTAAGACCACCAACATCCTCGTCGACGGGGACTGGGTCGCCAAGGTCTCCGACTTCGGCCTCTCCAAGTCCGGCCCGACGACGATGAACCAGACACACGTGAGCACCATGGTCAAGGGCAGCTTCGGGTACCTCGACCCGGAGTACTTCCGGCGGCAGCAGCTCACGGACAAGTCCGACGTGTACTCCTTCGGCGTCGTTCTCTTCGAGGTGCTCCTCGCGCGGCCAGCTCTCGACCCGGCGCTGCCACGGGAGCAGGTCAGCCTCGCCGACTACGCGCTCAGCTGCCAGCGGAACGGCACCCTGCCGGACGTTGTCGACCCAGCCATCAAGGACCAGATCGCGCCGGAGTGTTTCAAGAAGGTCGCGGACACGGCCGAGAAGTGCCTCGCCGAGCAGAGCATCGACCGGCCGTCCATGGGGGACGTCCTGTGGAACCTCGAGTTCGCGCTGCAGCTGCAGGACACCTTCGAAGGAGGCAGCTGCGGGCGGCGGACCATGGGTGACGGCAGCGGCAGCGGCACGGGGCGCCCGGCGCTCGAGCCGAGCAACAGCAACGGGAGCACGGCAAGTGTCACGACGCTGGGGACGTCGTCCACGTCACGGGCGCACGAGGCGTGCGTGATCATGGAGGAGACCGACGACGAGGTGGCTAACAGCGCGGCGTTCTCGCAGCTCGTGTGCCCAACTGGCCGGTAACACGCCGGCGGCGGTTAGTGCTTGCCGGAAAGATGCTACGCATGCGCGCTCATAGTGCTTGATTAGAAAAATTCACATCTGCTCCGTATTGGTTACGCTAATTTAGTAAATGCTTTGTTTTTTTTGGTAGATAGTACAATGTATGTAGCCAAGAACTTGAAAATTTTGAAGCTAAAGTTAGCCGGTCATGAAAAGGTCTGCACCTCCATTGCCTCAATCAGCTGTGATACACAATGTCAATTGTCAACCAACCCCGGCAATTACCATCGAAACACTTCGGCACCTTCATTGCTCTGTGCTGCCGGCAATTACGTAAAAGAAGAAATGGCGTGGTGTTGAAGGCAGCCCCCCTATCCCCGCCCCATGGGGCACCTTCTTGTCTCCTGTAGAAGTGAAACAGAGCTATGTAAATATGATTGCCAAGGAAAGATCACATAATAGATGCATAGCGTTGTCGATGCATATGATAGGGGACACACACACACTCTCTCTCTCCCCTCTCTCCACTGACACTCCTAGTCAGAATTGTGTTGTCGATGCATATGATACGCGTGCTGGAAAGCCCGCTTACAAGACCCAAGAGAAAAAAAAATGCTTGCTAAAATACTTGCTTATTAGGATGATTTGCATCGATATAAGTTTTTATGTCCATGTAGCTGTCAGTATTCCTCTAATATATGACACCCAAGAGTGATGGAAGGCTGTGATATGATGCTTCATACACCCCACCGAACCTCCAACACCCTCTGCTTATCTTGTAAGCCTTGCTAGGCTTGGGCGTTCGGTCTGACCGAACCGAACCGATTGGTTCTTTGGTCTTTTTGAAAGTTTTTAAAATGGAGACCGGTCGGTTAGTTTCAATACTCAGAACCGAGGAAGTTTGGTCTCGGTCATGACAAAATTAACCGGACTAGACAAAACAACTACTAAATAGTATAGTTTGTAGCAAATTTTAGCAATATTTTATCTATTTCAAGGGAAAAAATAACAATAAAACATATAGATTAAACAAAGTGATAAGAGTGATGGTTGATATAAACCCATTAGAGTAAATATTATATCACTAATAATAGTCTAAAGTACACATTATGTCAACAAAATCTAAATATTCGGTTAGTTCGGTTATCCGAGGCATATAACCGAACTAACCATAAAAAATTCGGGTAGTATGGGCTCGGGGCCGAACTAGTGGTCGAAAACTTCGGTCTTGGTCTCGGTCTCGGTTAGTTTGGTTCGATCTTCGGTCTTCGGTCAATTATGCCCATAGCTAGGCCTTGCTATAGTTAATTTTGTACTAACTTCTGCTTTGGCGATTTGGGATTTCAACTCAAAGCTGGGATTGTCCATGATATGAGCATACATGAAATCTACAACAAATACACATTTGAGGTTTCTGGTGCTTCTGGAAAATTGATGAAGCTGACATGTGTGCTCCTCGACTTTAGACACCTTCCAATAATCAATCCATTGAATGTGTGCACCCTAAAAGGGTAGCATGTTGCATGCTCTTGTTCACCCGGAACTACCTATATAAGACAAAATTGAACAATATTGCACAACTTTCTTTACTGCATCACCGCTAGGGTAAAGCGCATTGACACACATACTTCATTTCCACTGTACTCCTAAGGCACAATCTCTCCTCCATTGACAATTACAATAGAGTAGTCATACCCATCCTAATTTCGTGGTAGAGGATCTAGATCAACATCATCATTGTCAGATTCATCGGAGTCACCTTCTACCATGGCTAGAGAAGGTTCTTCATCCTCACACCGCATCTGCTACATTAGTGTAGAGATTGGTTAGTCCTCATCAACCTCATAGATGGGTTCATGGCCCTCCTTGCTCCTCCTCTTCATCATGCTCCTCATCCTCATCCATCTCCTTTTACTCGTCAATCCGTCATCACCTCATCTAAGAGCGGATGGGAGCAAAGGGAAGGAAAAAAGTTTATTTTATCTCCCTTAACTATTGCGGAGGTTTGATTTATCTTTCTCAATTAGAAACTAGATTTTTAGACTTCTCTAGCTTTTTAAACCGTCCAATTTATTTCCTTGAATGGTTTTGAAAATGGTTTTAGCTGACTTGGCGCCACGTCAGTTATGAGAGAGGTAAATATTGGATTTTTCATGATAGTTCATAAGGGCAATTAAACTCTACAAAAATATATAAATATTTTTTCAAAAAATTATCCAAATATTTTTAGAAAGATGTGTATTTTAAAAAACTAAAATCTGATTTAAAACCTTAAAAATCATAGACAATTTACTTTTATTCAAAAAAAATGAAATTGGTTTATATTTTTTTTTCTATAATCATGCTATACGTGTTCCTTGCTTGGAATTATTTGAATGGTATATGGTTTCCTAATATCTGAAATTGGACCAAATATGGAAAAGTAGATTTAGGCTAAGACAAATCTTTGTAGCCGAAGCGTGAATGATCGCCCATCGTGCAAACTATGAATAACGTTTCCTCAACAGCAACGTCATGCTTAACCATCGAGATATGCATGGAAAATTCCAAATAAAAATGTAATCCAAGTTCTAATTGCACATTAACAAAATGTATCATGTGATTTAACTTTGTAGTAGCATTGTCTTCTCCAAGGGACGTAACAGCGACGATATATGCAAACTCACTGGACCATCAGCGGCAATCAACGGGTAGCTTCTCAAACTCCTGAACCGATGTCATCGACTTGGCCAGCAACATCCAGATGGACATGATCCCTTCCTCATTTTTCGTCATCGTCATACATCTACACGCTCGCACCGAGAGCACGTGATCGAGTAGGAACCCAATTTAGATGGGCTCAGGATGTCATCTTCATGCGTTTTATAAAATAATGTTGTGCCTAGATAAAAAAAAAAGACAAAGGGCCTATTTGGCCGCATAAAACAGCGGCGGTAGCAACTGCTACAGTGCTTCCTGAGGAGGCTTACAGTCGCAGCCACTGACCCGCTGTTTAGTTGCATTGAATGGAGCCATAGAGTATGATTTTAGAAAAAAAAAAAAGTTAGTTTAATATTTCTCTGAGCCAAACCAAATTTTCTATGAATTTTATAAGGCCAAATCAAATACATATTTATTAAAAAATATTTAGATATTTTTTAAGAAATACTACTTTTCGCTAAAGTTTAATTAACCTCTCTAAACTATTTACTTTCCTTGTGGCTGACGTGGTGCCATGTAATGACATGGCGTTAGGTTAGTTAAAATCGCTTAGAGGAGTAAACCGGATGGTTCAAAAAGTTAGAGAAGTCTGAAAATCTGATTTTTTTTTTTAATTGAGGGGTAAATCGGATTCTTGCGCAATAGTTCAGTGACACTAGAGCTGTTTTGTTTCGGAGAACCTGGTTAGACTTTTTCCCCAAGAGAGAAGGGGCGAGTGTCTGAAATAGGCCGTTGTGGGCTCCGTTGGACTGCTTGGGCCTGCCAGGACCAGGAGTCGAGGCTTTCGAGCAACGAGACGAGCGGGCGAGGCTGGATGCCTGGATGCAAAGCGCACGCCTGACCTAGTTGGTACGACCCGCGTGTGTGTTCTGGGGCGCTCTCCTCCCTCTCCCCTCTCCCCTCTCTGGCCTGTCTGGGTCGACGACTGGGCGCCGCCGCCCTTCGCCACGTCTTCGCCGGCGACGGTTACACACCAGGTATTCCCTTCCTGCTGTGCGAAACCGAGCACCCCAAACCCTAATGTAAAGCTATTTTGTATTCGGATCTGACCAAGTTACAAGTGTACACAAGATACCTACTAACTTCGAGTTTTTGCCGAAAAAAAAAATCGCTGGGTGAACATCTGTACACCCATGGTCAATGGCGCCTTAATGCATTTATAGTCCTTTGGTTTCCTAGCTTCAATGGAGCTGGAAAATATTTTCATTTTCCTTGGGAAATAATTTATTTCCTTTTCCCCTCTTGTGTGTTTTGCAATTGCTGTAGGTTGAGCAAATATTCTTCTGCCAATGGCAAGGGAACCAAGTCCTGAAATAGATGATGAACTTTTCAATGAAGTTTATGGGAAAGCATACAGTGGCCCAGTTGCATCAGCTGCAAATAGTGTGACGCCTAAAGTAAATGCTGAGAAGAGGCCCCTGACTCGTGATAAGTCAGATGATGAAGATGAGGCCCCAGATCCTAATGCTGTTCCTACGGACTTCACTAGCCGAGAGGCTAAGGTCTGGGAGGCGAAAGCTAAGGCTACAGAAAGGAACTGGAAGAAGAGGAAGGAGGAAGAAATGATTTGTAAAATATGTGGAGATTCAGGCCATTTTACTCAGGTACTCTTCTACCTATCGAAAATAGAACTTGCATGGAAGTATATCAAAATAAAGACATGTAAAGAACATGCAAGGATTCCTGGCGTTTCTTATATTATTGGTGGCGTTAGCAACTTAAGAGCAGTGCTGTACTGATCCTAGTGAATTTAAGCAGCAGGTTTCTTTTAAATCAGCATCATATGAAGCTTCAACTGCAAAGAAGTGCTGGGATTAGTTGATAGACTGGTTTGTTTTTTTGTCACAGTTCATGATAAAAAAAGGCTTTGGCCTTTTTAATAGCAGTATATGCCAATGCAACTCATAAGAATTGATGCACAAAATCCTACTTCACATTCTGCGATCTTTATCTTTTGTATTTTGTCCTCCATGGTTTGAGCAAAGCTAGAAAGTAGGCCATGTTTACTTGACAGGAAGGTCCTGCAGATGTAGTTTCTTTTATCTGCTTTGTATTTTGCCATTTTTATTTGGTGTGTAACATGCATGTTACTCTTTCTGCTTTGTTGTACATGGCACTTTGTGTATACTTAATTTTTTAGTTTATCTTCTCTTGCTAAATGTTATCATAAAAATGTCAAAGCGTGCTCTTCATTTAACATCTCCTTTCTGTACAGGGTTGTCCCTCCACACTTGGGGCAAATAGGAGAAATGCAGATTTTTTTGAAAGAGTTCCAGCAAGAGATAAGCAAGTCAGGGATCTTTTCAATGAGAGGATAATAA